AGGGACCAATAGGGAATGCCAGGGTGGATGGGCAGGGTTACATAAACCAATGGGAAAACAGGGAAGGGACAACTCTCTAGAACATGAACATATAAAGGTAAAAGGGGTGGGGAAGAGCACTGGGGAGGATGGAACCGGGATAAATTAATGTGATGCTGCAGAGCGCCATTGTGGGGGAAGTCTGTTTCCTTGCCCTGAGCTGAGAGGAGTGCTTGGAGCCTGTAGTGCATCTTTCTAGGGCATTGTCATTACCTCTCCCCAGTGGGCTCATGGCCCTCCACAGGTTGGGCTGTCTGGCACCACTTGCTGTAGTGGAAGGTGGAGGGTGCAGCAGATTGTGTGTCCTGCCACAGCGAAACTCCTCTGCCTGTGAGCCAGGGCAGGAGAAACTGCAAGAGGTGCTGGGTGAGTGGGATGCAAGTGGCATCTTCATTTCATTCTTTGATAACTCTAGGGCTTTGCAATTACATGTGCTGATCCGATAGTCATTAGGGAATGATCAGCCAGCCATTGGCAGGGGCTGTTTGCCTTTCTGCTAATTAAGTTGCATTTGATTTGCAATCAAATCTAATGAATCAAGTGAGCTTGAGGTAGGCTCAAGGGAAGCACAGGCTATCTCCACAGCCTTGCTGATCATGAGGAGCCACACGCCAGGGACACTGCCAGGAGCCGCGCTGTGGCACAGGGCAGTGAGGGACACGTCGGCAGGGTGAGCAGTGCTGTGTTTGGGCAGGGACAGGGCTCCTGCCGTGCTGCTGGTGGGTGGCCTGTCAGGCTGTGCACTTGGAGACATGCACCAATGTATTGGGTTGGCACAGCCAGGCTTTGGGGCGGGGGGGCTGTAGGGGTGACTTCTGCAAGAAGCTGCCAGAAGCTTCCACCATGTCCAGCAGAGCCAATCCCTGGTGGCTCCAAAGATGGATATTCCACTGGCCAAGGCTAGGCCAGTTAGGAGTGGTGGTAATGCCTCTGAGACTACATATTTAAGAAGGAAAGAAAGATGGTTTTGTGCAGTTGTAATTGTGGCCAGATAGGAGTGGGGTGAGAATATGTGAGAGGAAAGCTCTGCAGACACGAAGGTCAGTGGAGAAGGAGGGGAAGGAGCTGTTCCAGATGTCGGAGCTGAGATTCCCCTGAACCTGTGGTGAAGACCATGGTGAAGACCCTGCAGCCCAAGGATGCCGTAGGAGTGCAGAGATCCCCCTGCAGCTCCTGGAGGAGCCTATGCTTGAGCAGGGAGATGCCTGAGAGGAGTCTGTGACCCCGTGGGAAGCCCATGGTGGAGCAGGATTCTGGCAGGGACCTGCAGACCTGTGAAGAGAGGAGCCCACACCAGAGAAGCTTTGCTCGTAGGAGCTGTGACTCTGAGTGGGACCTATGCTGGAGCAGCCTGTTCCTCGAAGGAACTCCATGGAAAAGTGACTCACATTGCAGCAGTTTGGCTAGGACTGTTCTTGTGAACTGGACTCACATTTCAGAAGTTCGTGGAAAACTATTCCCCATGGGAGGGACCCTATGCTGGAGCACGGGAATGATTACTGTCCCTGAGCTGTGTCCCATTCCTGTCTCCCTGCACCACTGTGGGGAGGGAGGTAGAGCTGGTAAAGAGGGAGGGGTGGGGGAGAAGGTGTTTTTAAGGTCTTCTTTTACTTTTCATTATCCTGCTCTGATTTTGTTAGCAATAAATTAAATTAATATCTCCAATTAGAGCCTCTTTTGCCTATGACGATGTTTAATGAGTGTTCTATCCCAGCCCTTAACTCATAAATCCTTTGCCATATTTTCTCTCCCCTGTCCAGCTGCAGAGGGGACAGATAGAGAGGCTTTAGTGGGTGCCTGGGTTCCAGCCAGGGTCACCCCACTACAGGCAGCCGCCCTGTGCTGGCATGGAGTGCTGCTCAGGCAATGCTCCTCTGGCTGCCGCGCCGGGAGAGAGCAAGCACAGCCCTGGAGCCTCTGGAGGAGGGGCAGGGAGCAGACCAGGGCAGGGACCCCAGCACGGGGCTGCTGCTTCTCTCTTCACCACAGGCGTGTTGGGCAGTTCAGCGGTTTGGGACACCCGTGTGATTTCCATGGAGCCCTGGATGAGCATTGAAAGAGGAAAGGCTGTTCTGGGCTCACACCCGCCAGACCCCAGCGGCACTTGGGGAACCCTGTGCACTATCCAAGGCGGACGGACAAGCCTGGTCCTGATGTCTGCATGGTGCCACAGTCCTGCTGTGGTGACTACACCACCAGCTGGTGACTGGTGCTGCACCCATCACAGGCAAAGGAATATCCAGGAGCCTCTAACACAAGACTGCTTCAGGCAGGTTGATTGGGCACCCTTGCACTCAGTTTTTTTGGGATCACCAAGAGCCCACAGGTCCCAGGCAGCAAGTGGGACCTGGCTCAGAGGCTGAAATTTAAGTGTCATCCTTTTGCTAGCTGGTGCTACTCTTACATCTACAACCTGAGATGATCCCATACAGTCACATTTTATTTTTAAAAAGAGAAAAAATGAAAAGTCAAGAGGATTAACTATCACATATGGCACAGAGATTGTCTGGAAAGACCAGCTTAGCTTTCCTCTGAGTGCTTAAGCTGATATTAGCAAATAGAAGCCCTAAACAACATTGGGAAGCCTAAATGGAACCCAGCACGATTGCATCAATTTAAAGAATCTGATTAGAAATAGCATAAACATTCTTTAACTTATTGAAGACAGCTGAAAGCAACAATATAAGACAGACAACAAAGACATCAGCATCTGGTGCCTTGCTCCTCTGCTTTGAGAAATGACAGCTGCACTTTATTCACAGGCTCTGGCAGCAGGAATTTAACACTAGAAAATATTTGAAAGTAGCTGGTTAAATTCAAAGAAAAGAAGATGATAGAAAACTGAAGAAACCCTGCATCCACCTTGGCCAAGAAGGAGCTTTGGTGGATCCTCAGAATGGACAATCTCCTCTGCAAACACTTCAGAAGTTCTGTCCTACCAATGGAGAAGGGCAAGTGAGTAATAAGGTGGAGGAGATGACATTTCCAGACAAAATAACTCAAACATCACTGCAGCACCCCATCTGCCACTTACACTCCCTTTGGTGCCTTCTAGTTTTCACCAGACAAGGAGAAGAAGAGAATGTGCCAGGCTCTGCGGAGGTGGTCAGAGGGACAACAGATAAGTAAGTCCCCTCACAATGTAGGAGATACTCACAAAAGCCTGCAATAAATGCCAGATTTGGTTGATGTCTTGGCAAACTATGACACAGGGCAGACTGAATGCAACTTTTGCGCAGGAAAATCACACCTCAGAAATACACCTCTCTGGAGGAGTCAACAAGACATGGGTGTTGGACATCCCCATGTCACCTGGCAAGAGTCTATCAAAGTTTGCAGGGCACAAGCTGGCATAGGTTAGGGAAGAAGATCTCACTAAGATAAATCACAGAATGAGTCAGGCTGGAAGGTCATCCAGTCCAACCTCCTTTCTCAAGCAGAGTCCCCCAGAGCAGTCACTCAGGATAGTGTCCAGACAGGTTCTGAGCTCCTCCAGACATGATCCAGAGCCTCTCTGGGCAGCCTGTCCCAGAGCTTCGTCACCCACACAGTAAAGAGTGGCTGAGAGAGAGAAAGGGAAGAAAGTCACCCAGGGAGGTCAGTGTGCTGACTGACAGATGTCTGGTAAAACAGCTCATCCACGTGCAGAGAGTGCCAGAGGGGGCAGCACGAGGAGATATTAGAAGATCAGAGAATAGGAGACTAGGACAAATCTCAGTTGTACCCCCACCTTTTCAGGAAGGTGAAGGTCCAGGTCTGGCTATGCAGCCCCAGCAGGGACATGGCCTGAACAGGGGAAGGAGAGAGAAGGGTGAGAGGGGAGGCTGGAAGGACAAGGAGGCTTGTCACAGATTTAAGATCTGGAACAGCATAAGGAGCACAGATAGAGATGATCTTGCATCACCAGCAGCCATCAGCTGCTGGTCTCAAACTGCTCCTAAGCCATCAACAGCTGTCCCAGCATTTCCTTTGCCCCAACACCCCTCTGCTTTCTCCATCAGCCCAAACTGGTGTCTGGGCTGATCCCCACTGCATCAGCCTGGTCCCCACCAGCCCTGGTATGTTCCCACAGCCCCTGGCTGGGCAGCTGAAGATGGAATCAGCATAACAAGCAAAAGGGGAGAGCAGCGGTGAGTGAAGCTCCTTGCTGCAGGATGCCACCATAGCTGAGTAGGTACCTAAACCCAAGAAGCCCTTAGGAACATTCAGGGAGGAAAAGTCCCTTTTTATCAGACATATGATGACATCTGGCCAGATTTGTGGGGGGATAAGGGAGCATTGGATGAGCTGCAGAGACAGATACAAGCTTGATGGAAGGGCTGAGGGACTATGGAGGCCTGCATGGGGACCCACTGAGTGCTCTGCATGGATGGGATTCACACCCAGAAAACACTGAACTGTCAGCTTGTGTGCCCTGGGACCCCAGCTCCAGTGGGGTTTTTCTCTGTGTGGTGCCCAGGGGCAGAAATCACAGGCAGCTCTCCGTGTTTGGCTCCAGAGGATTCAGACAGCCTTGTTCCACAACAGTTTGCAGTGGGACAGAGTTCCTAAACCTGAATCTTGCCCTGCCTTGGCTCAGCCTGAGCTGTTGGATGAGCTCCTGGGGCTCCCAGGCAGCAGAGAGCTGCAGCCACTGCATGACAAGAGGAGGAGAGGTGGTGGATGGTGTGGGTGGATGCAGCCCTCCAAACTCCAGCCTCACCTCAGTGACCTTTCTCCATGCATCCTCCCTTGCCCACAGGATTCTCACTGCACCCTTTGCCTTACCTCTCTCTGGCCTGGTTCTGCCCCTCTGGGAGGCACCCAGGAGGGAAAATCTTGTGGCTTTGAAACTGCCCTCACTTGGGCAAGCTCAGCTGGGATCACTCCTGGCTGTTCACCATCCACAGCCCCCAGGAGGACAACAGGAGGGACCACAGGGCCCAGCACCCCAGGTTGTCCCCACAAAGCTACACTAAGACTTGGGGAGGATTTCCGTTTATTTGGCAGAAAGCAGGGACTGTGTCAGAGTCCTGACAACAGAGCTTAGAAGAAGGATGGTGGAGCAGGAGTCTGGAGCTTCAGAGCATGGGTTTTGCGTTGCTTGGCAGGAGCATCCACAAGCCAGTCTGCACTTTCTGGAAAACAAGTGGGAGAGGTGGCATTGAGGTGAGAGCAAGGAGACGAGTGGGACTCTCCATTATGATCAGTGCATTCTTCTCCAGTTCTCCCCAGATTTGTAGGGTGAGGCATCTCCAGCAATGGAGTTCTAGTAACCCCTACAGCTGTGTGGTGGGAAAGCACAGGCTGGGGGGAAACAGCAAATATGGTTTGCATGGTGAGACACCAACCCATTCTGGCCAGGTTTGCCAGTCCACAAGCCCAGGGTCCCTTTGGCAGGAGCCAGTGTCCTGGCCCTCAGTGCTCAAAGGGCTGGGCAGACATTTCTCTGGTGGTTTCAGCTCACATGCCCATGTTCAGTGCCAGGCACTTCCCACTGGGGGTCTCTGGGCACTGCTTCTTGGGAGTCCCTGGGTACTGCTACCTCGGGTCCTGCTGTAGAGCAATATCCAAAGGAATGGTCCTACCTGTGTGTAAGCTCCAGCACCAGTTCAAACAGCTCAACCCCAGAGGAATTCAAAGAGTTCTTGGTGGCCCTTGCCTTGGGGGCACCAAGAAGGTCAATTTCCAGGAGAGAACATTGCAAACACCGTTTTGCACTACAGCAACTCACCTACGGTTCACCAAGTCTGCAATCCTCTGTGGAAACAAAGAAAAAGCCTAAGTCTGACACTGTGGTCTGAATAGTCCCATTTAGCACCCAAAATAGACTACTCAGAAGGAATTTGTGGGTTTTTTCTTGCTCAGTATGCCCAGCCAGAGCATCGCTGGCTGCCAGCACTCCCTCCTGCCAGCTCAGGCCACGAAGTGGTGGTACTGAGGGCTGAGCTGGTCCCTGCATGTCCCTGTATTGGCCCTGGGCAGTGCTCACCCTGCCTGGGCAAAATCCAGATTGTCTTGTCGGTGAAGCCATTCAGCTTGGCAAGTCTCCTGAACAGCAACTTGATTTTGGGTCTCACCCACTGGGTTCTGCCTAAAGACAAAGACATGAGTTAGCTCCAGGCTGTGCCTGACCCTGCATCTCCTGGGAAGCTGGTGAGTGTGTCCAGCTGAGGGTGGGATGGATGGCAGTCCCTGGGAGAAGGCTGGAGGCACTGGTGGAGGTTCTGGAGAGCAGTGGTGGCCAGGCACGTGAGGCACCCCACCCAGGATACAAGATGAGCCAGAGTGTTCCTCTTGGAACACTCTCTTGGCTCCTGTCCCCACTGATTCTGTTCTGCCTGTGCAGCAGGACCCTCGCTCTCCACCCTTCTCCACCAAGCAACTTACCCAATGCCATGGACTTGCAGCACAGTGCTGGGAGCCTGAGCTCCAGCCTCTCCTGCCACCCCAAACACTGCTCCTTCCCTGCCACACAGGTAGTCCCTGCTCCGCTCCTGCACCTCGCCCAGGGCAGGAGTGGAGAAAGAATGTCCCCTGGCTCCTGGCCTTGCAGGACCCTCAGAGCAGCTCACCACTGCTGGCTACGCACTGTAAAGTCTCAGCATGTGCAAGGTCTTCCCGTCTTTCTCTCTGGTGGCAAAGACAACCATGTAGGAACTGCCGTCGGTGTCCACCAGCCGCACCGTCTTATTGCCTCTGTCTGCAAAAGGATGTGGAGAAAAATTAATTACCTTCTCCTGGAAACCCCCATGCTGCAAAGGGGCTGTAAAGAGCATGAAGCCCACCAAGCCTGTCTTTCCTCGATATCTGCCCATCCTGGTTTTCCCTCTTGCTAAGGCTCCTCTGAAAGCCTGGGGAGCCCACAGACCTCAGCAGGGCAGAGGGATGGGGAGGCAAGGACAGAAGGGGCTGTGGATGGTCAGTGCAGGCTGTTGGCCAGTGTCAGACTGCTCCTTGGGCTGGGAATGGTGGAAAACCACTCCTGCTCCATCCCTTGGGAACATCCACTCACAGCCTCTTTGCAGAAGGAACCTGCTTTTCCCTAGGGTTTAAGCTTGGTCTCATTGTGTTTATCTCAGAGGGAGGGATTGGGGGGAGTCTGCCATGCTGCTGGGCCACCAGCCCTGGGATGTAGCTGGCACCTGGATGCAGAGAGATGTCCCACCCAGGACACAGGAGGGGCAGGCAGTCCTGAGGGCCATGTCCCCAGGAACAGCCAGCTGCTTCGGACAGGGATGGTGGGACATGCCTCTACCCTGCCCGAAGAACCAGGCACCCCCACTCACCAGTGCTGTAGTATTCACCCGGGCTGTCTGTTGGCTTGTAGATTGATTCAAACTTCATGCATCTTTCAGGGCTGCAGAACAGTGAAGGATGCTCCAGCTGAGGTGAAGTGACTCCCTCTCCCCTCCCCTGTTCAAGGGTCACTACCCCAGGTGTGAGACTTGCTGTTCAGAGATGGGATAGTGTGGCCAGGAAGGGACAGATACCACCCTTGGAACAATGGGTACCTGGGCTGGCAGGAGACAGTGCTGGCACATGGGGATTATCAATGCCCTCACTCATGCTCTGAGCTTCTGGGATGAGGCTGGTTCTGCTGGGAAAGTTGTAATTGTAGGGTCCCGTCCCACCCTCTGTGGTGGCACTGGTCCTGGCCAGTGTTGCCCTGAGCCTGCCCTAAAGACGGGGTGCCCACAGCTGTCCCAAGCCCCTGGTGTTCCTGTCTCAACCCCTGCCCAGGTCTTTGGTGAGTGCACTGAGGTGGAGACCCACCAGTGAAAGTCTAAGGAGGAGTTTGGTAGTGAAGCCTGTGGAGAACAGCATGTGGGACTTACGTGGGAATTGCAAAGGAGACCTTCAAGTCACCATCCTGCAGGACCTCAATGCTGGCCATCGCCATCTTCAGGTGGTCCTTATTTTGGAGATAGCTCTCGGAGTCAGAGGCCATAGCAGTGATGTACCACGTCCCTGCAATCTGGCAGTGAGAGCAAGCTGTGAGTCCAGAGGAGCAGTCTAGAGTGTCCCGTCCTCAGGGACCAAGCCAGGACAACGTCAGTCCATGGAACACCCACATCCTGTCCAGGCAACAGAATTCCCTTAGGGACACCTATGCAGGAGCTGGGTGACTGTCCTCACCTGGGCGTGTCAGCAAAGCAATGGTGGCTGTAGTCACCCCAGCTGTCCCCAGTACCAAAACACCTCTACAGTCCTCCCTGCTCTGCTGGTGACTGGAGAACAAACCCCTTCCCTTCCCTTCCCTTCCCTTCCCTTCCCTTCCCTTCCCTTCCCTTCCCTCCCCTCCCCTCCCCTCCCCTCCCGGGATGCTGAGGGTCACCTTGCTCTCGTCCGGCTCCGCGGTTCCCAGCTCCCCAGCCTGCACACGCAGCAAGCACAGCAGGACCATCCCCAGGCTCAGCCCCACGGTCTCCATCTCGCCTCAGCTCCTCTGGCTTCCCCCGTGGGATGGGGAGCGGAGCCGGCGCTGTCGGATTTATAGCTCCGTGCTCCGTCCTCCGCCGCCCCCGCTGGAGCGGTGCCGAGCCCACGGGAACGCTCTTGGCCTCGGCTGGGGCAGAGGGGTGGATCCGAAGGGCAGCAGTCAGCCAAGGGTGAGCAAACCCCTGGGGCGGAGCGGGGCTTGTGCCTGCCAGCGCCAAAACGGAGTTACAGGAACCGTTGCACCACTGCTGAAATTCGGGATTTCCCCCGTTTTTTTAGTTCTTGTGAAAGAACAAAGCGAACGCTTGTTTCCCAACGGAAAGCTGCCGGAAGGCTGCCAGGAGGAGCGGGAGGTTCTTCCCGGCACCGGCCCCGGGGCAGCCCCGTTGTCCGGCTCACCGGGGCCCTCGGTGACCCGTTTTTCTGGCCGGGCTGAAACGTGCCCCAGGGCAGCTGCTGGGATCCTGCCCAAACCCAGCCCTCCGCAGGCACAGCCTGACCTCTGCGAGCCGGCTGCATCCTGAGCAGGGCGGGCAGAAGACGGGGCTCATGTCGCTACGGGAGTGTGTCCCTCCTTCCCGGAGTGTGATGTGCCCTGTGGCCTGGCTGTGCCAGGCTCCTGGGGTCACCGGCCCAACACCTGCCTGGGCACTGAGGGGCTGCGGGGCAGGGAGGCAGAGCGGGGACCAGGGGCTGCCCTCGCTCTGCAGGAGGTGGAGGCAGAAAAAAACTGCCCTTTGGGCTCATGGCAGCATGGCCTTGCTTTGGTGAGACTGGGGGACCAAGGGGGGTGACAGGCATGTGGGTCCCAGTCCTGCCATAGGCAGCCCTGGTGCCACCCCACTCCCATCTGGGTGGCCTGGGAGAGGACTGAGCAGGGAATGGGGTTTCCTGGGGGTCTCCCTGCAGGCAGCACTGGGCAGCCTGACTGCTTAATCCTGTCTGCCCAGAGCTACTGACCACCCAGCTAGGCTGTGCAAGCCCCTGTCCATCCTGGCTCCATTCTTCCCTGCCCTGGCAGCTGTTCCCCTGCATCTTCCCCATCCTCTGCTCCTCATCCTCCCCATGCTGGGCACAGCAAACATCATATCCAGGGAGCCCCCTAAAACCTGTGGGGGCCTGACAGGAAGGGTCAGCTCCAGGACTGTTTGGTTCAGGGTGCCTGGGGACTGTGGCAGTACCCTGCTCCTGCCAAAAAAGCACCAAGCTCTGGGGTAGCTTCTGCATCTATTTATTTAGGAGGTTGAGGGTGATCCTGGTATGGAGCAGGGGGTCTGGCAGAGCCTGGAGGATGGGAAGGAGCACCACGTAGTGGGGTGCAGAGCCCATCGTCCACTAGGTCTGGAGGACACATGGTCCTTCAGCTGCAGAGGCAGGACAGGCAGATGACTGGTCAGAGCAGGGCAAAGCCAAGGTGACAGAGCCCCGAGGCAGGTGGGGGATCCCCCAGGGCCTGCAAATCCCTGCTCAGCCCAGGCCATGCTGAAAGGGAGTCGCAGCTTTCCCTGGCCACACTCACCTGATGTCCCCAGTACATTGATCTGTTGGAAAGCAAAGAGAGGGGGGGAGTGTGCAATTGGCAGCAGAGGGGCCTCAGCTGCCACGCTGTGCCCTTGGGCCACTCACCCGACTTGGGCAGGATGGCCAGCATGTCCTCGGTCAGGCCCGTGGTGGGGATGAGCTCCATGAACTTCTGCAGGAGCTGGCTACTCACATCCTGCTCCCTTGCTGCAGCCACACACCAAAGTGGGGGCTGGTGAGTACAAGGAATCCCAGCAGCCAGCCCCACACTGGGGGTCCAGGTACTGCGGGGCAGCAGCTGGAGCCCAGGGAAGGGCCAAGGTGAAGCAATGAACATGCAGGGTGGACACCAGGCAATGCACAGCTGCCCTGGGCTGGCAGCAAAGGGGCACAAGCCCCTTGGGATCAGCGACCCATTTGTTTGGGGTGGTATGGGGTAGCTGGCAGGCTTGGGCTTGCACACTTCAGGGGGCTCTGGTTTAACCCTCACTGGAGATTTCTTTAGTGCAAAGTTTCATTCACCCCAAAATTAATTCCCTAGGTGATGGACATGGGGTGCTGCTGGTGGTGGCCCTGGCTCGTGGTGGGAAGCCCAGCCCCTGCCCGCTGGTGCCCCCATCCCTTCCCAGGAGCCAGGTCCCCACTCCCAACGCACTGAGGAGCTGCAGTGCCATGCTGGGCTCTGCCTCGCTGAGCTGGACCTCGCGCAGGACAGCGTAGTGGCTGTAGTCTGTCTCCATCACGCTCAGATTCCTCTTCTCTTGTGCACCTAAGGACCCCAGAGGTGACCAGCTGGGTAACATGGTACAGTCTGAGCCGTGCTGAGGCCCACAGCTCAGTGCTCAAGCCTCAAATTTGCCTGAGGCGTGTATGAGGAAGGAACCCCTGCTCAGTGTGGAGGAACCAGGTGCCCACCCACCCACAATCTCTTGCTGAGTTGTGGAGGCAAAGGGGCCAAGCCCACCTCCCACTACTCCTGAGGCATGGGGGCTGGGGATGCCCTCTGTTTCGGGGTACCCATGGCTCCAAAGCCCCTCTCCACACATACCCATGTAGTGCCCTGCCTGCCCGCTCTGCTGGAAGAGCAGCTCAAACTTTTGGCATTTGTCCATCCTGGAAAAGGAACATGAAAAAGACAAATGTGTCTGGACACCACATGGGAAGGCAGCAGGGTGAGATGGGCCCAGCCTGCCCAGGGGGATGCACTGAGGCAGAAGTGGGCAACCCAGAGCAGTGGGGGAGTTGCTGTGGAGGGGAAGGGAGTTCCCAGCCCTCAGGGAACACGGTGAGCAGGACAGACACTTACAGGGGCCACACCAACTTCATGGCCAGGTCCCCTTCTGGTGTGAAGCTGATGATGGCCACGGATGACTTCATCCCATCCTTCATCTTCAGGAAGATGGAGCAGTTGGAAGCAATGGCTGTGACATGCCACACCCCTGCAAACTGCAGCAGGGCGTCACCAGTGGAATTTGGAAAAGTTGTGGGGACCTGCCAGGGGGACCTGTGCTCCTCCATAGGGGACTGGAAGCCCACTGCAGAAATTTGCCAACCTGCAGTGGACCTGCCACTGTCTGTGGGGACTGTCACCCTCTTCAGAGACCTGCCACCATCTGTGGGGATCTGCCCTCCACCGTGGAGAACATGACAGCCCACTGCAGAAACCTGCCACCCTCTGTGGGGACAGAGCCACCTGGGGGCAAACATGGGGACCTGCCACCTTCCTGCATGCAGAACACCCTGTCCTACCCCATGCTAAGAGTACAGGTGCAGCACCTGGCCCATGTTCCCTGGGAAAGTGCCACACACTTGCAGACATCATGGCCCCACATGCTGGTGTCCTTGCAGTGGGGCTGTTGTTGGCACTGGATACAGCAGCCAGGACTAACCTGGTTTTGCAGAGGCTCTCCTGGAAGCTGCCCTGGAGCTGGCTCAGTGGTGGGGCTGGCAGGTGCCCAGGGGTGCAGCACAGGCCCCCTGCCCCAGCCAGCCCCTCCAGCCCAGGCAGGATGTGCCAGGCAGCACCCACTTACCTTCTTGGTGTCCAAGTCTGGCTGCACAGGGAGCTGGGCCCCTGCCTGCAGCCCACAGAGCAGGGCCAGAGCCAGGCTGGGCAGTGCTGCTGTCATCCTCACCCTGGAGTGGATGTGGGCAGGAGAGGCTGCACCCACTTTATAGCCCCCACTGCTGGCAGCACTCCTGCCCACACCAGCTTTATGCAACAGGTTACACAAGAGCAGGGATAACCTGGCTTAGGTGACAGTGCTGGCCCTGTCCCCCCAGTTCCAGATGAATGCAGCCTTGTGTGAGACCCAGCCCAGAGCACGCCCTGTGTATAGGGAGGAGTGTGACATGCATCCCAGGGTCCCGCTCCTGGCTGTTCCCATTGGTTCTGGGGTCTGTCAGTGGTGGGATGGATCCTGCCTCTGGATCCTCAGTGCCAGAGAATGGTTGTGTTGGTGTTCTACCCCAGGCTAAGCCACAGCCTTGGTGCCCTCAGAAGTGGTGGTGGCTTCTTAGGCTGGTGGCAGCAGGCTCAGACGCCACTGCTGGAGAGGGTCTGAGTTCATGGGATGGAGCCCAGGAAGTGGCCAGGATCAAGCCACACCCAGAGCTTACAGACATCCTTCTTCTTCATGTCCATCCTTCCCCAAACTTCTGGAGACCTCCTGATTGCCCATTGCCCCATTCCCATGCTGCCAGCCTGCTCTCCAGCAGGAAAACCAAGGCAGGGAGGTTGGGGGAGCCCAGGGTACCCAGGGGGCAGAGGGGGAGCAGATGCCCCAGTGGGTCCTAGACTCAGGGACCCCTTTTTGTGGGACAGGGCAGGTTCAGTGGCCAGGCAGCACCACAGGACAGGGCTGTGAGTGCACATGGGGTCTCAGCCCAGCAGCTCCATAGCCAGGAGCTGGGGTCAGCCCTGACCACTAACCCCAGTCCCAACCCTATTGGCCATGCTTTCCCCTGCCCATTGCCTTCTTTGGGCCTGCCCCACAACAATCCAGCAGGCAAGGGCTGTTTTTTTTACGGGCTTTAATTGAGACAGGGATACAGGTGTGGGTTGTGAAGCCAGGGAGCAAAGGCTGCTGCGGTGTAGGGGGCCAGATGGGCAGGGTAGTCACCAGCTCCCGGTGCTGTTGGGGCTCGGGCTGGCAGCAGCTGGTGGGTCTGCCTGGAAAAGATGGGGGGTGAGCATGGGTGAGCTGTGGGAGACCAGGTAACACACAGGGCGGACATGGGCCTGGCTAGCCTCACACCGAGTGGGTAGGCACTTTACAGGGTGGGTGGGGGATCCCCAGTCAATGTGAGGAGAGCAGCAGCCCAGGGAAGGGTTGTGGAGGGGCTGGGGGCTCTGTGGGGTGATGTGGCTTTAAGCATCCCCATACCATCTGGCAGGGCTGGTCTGAGCTCCAGTGAAGGCAGGACTCACCTAAGCAGCATCTGCCATGCATTTGTCTGCAGGAGGAAGAAACAGGGAGATCAGCTCCTCTGGGGGCTGTGGGAACTCAGCCCCCCGATGGATCCTGAATGGGGCACCCCATGGCTGGCCTCACAGAGAAGCAGGGACAAGCCAGGAGGGTCTCCTTCTCAGTCCCCCGTGGTATCTCACCCCCTAGTCCCTGACTCTCAGTCTCACCCGTCTGCGGCAGGATGAGGATCTCGTCGTCTGTCAGGCCCTGCTCCCTGGAGAACCGGGTGAACATCTCCAGGCGTTCAGGACTCAGCGCCTTTGTCCGGCCTGCAGCCAAGAGCAGGGTGAGAGGCAGTGCCCCCATACCCACCAGCACAGGGGCACAGGCAGCCCTGCAATGGGGTCCTGACCCAGCCATCATCCCCCCAAGGTCACCCCAGCTTGGGAAATGACCCTAACCCTGCCCTTCTCTCATGGAAAAGACAGACACCCGGGGGGCATGGACAGCACGGGGTCCCAGGGCAGACGTACTGTAGAGCAGCACCATGGTGGAGGAACCAGTGCTCTTGGAGATCTGGGTAGCCACCAAGGCGTACTCTTCGTAGTTGGTCTCCACCACATGGATGTTGTGCTTGCTGCCCCAGCCTGTGGGGAACATGGGGCACAGCTCAGCCCTGAGCTCCAAATCAGCCACAAGGCAGGAGCAGGGACAGCAGGGCTATGAGCACGTCCGGGGCTGCCCCACGGAAGCTGGGCACTCACGTGGGCTGGTGTAGATGAACCGCCCTGGCTGCTCTGTCTTGGTGTAAAGACTGTTCCTCGTCACGCACTGGTCACCCCTGGGAAGCAGAGCAGCAGAGGATGCACCAGTGGCCACTCCCAGTACCCCCTCCCCACTCACCCTCTCCCCATGCCCCATACTTGGGGTACGTGGAGGTAACTTCCAGGTTCCCCTCTGCAGTGGTGGAGATGATGGTGGTGCACATCTTCATCAGGTGCCGCTTCTCCTTGAACCAGTTAGAGTTGGAGGCCAGGCCAATGCTGTACCATCTCCCTGTGAGCTGCACACAACCTCCACTCAGCCCCAGCTGGGCACAGACCCTGTCTCACACCTCAGCCCCCACCAGCCCCTCTGGCAGCCCATTCCCTACAGCAGGACAGCATCCCAGGGTCCTCATTTCACAGGGAGCTGCTACAGCTCTTGGCAACAAAACCCCAGAACAAGGAAATCTCTGTTTAATGACATGTCCTTCACTGCCCTTGGGTGTTCCCTTCCTCTTCACCCCAAGCCCAGGGAGTGTGACAGGACTGCCTGGCTCTGAGATACCATTTCCATCCATCTGGGTGTGTGAGGATGGGTCAGGACACTGGGTCCAGCATGGCTCATTCCAGTCTGGTGTATGGAGCCAGCAGTGTGATGCCCCTGAGGGGAGCTGCCCGCCTTGGAGAGCAGCTGTGCTGGGATCACCCTCGCAGCACATCCCAAACCCTTGTCCTTGCAGGAAGTGCCTCCTGCCATCCCCATCACCTCCTGGGGTCCCCCAGGACCTTTCCAGGGGAGAAGGGATGTAGGGGATGTAGCACAGCAGCCCTTGTTTTTTTGTGGCCCTGGGCTGGGGTCTTTGTTGGGGAGGGTTTCTCATGGCCCCATCTCTGTGCTGTCAGACTGAGATTGCATTTCTCACTCTCCCCTGCAAGATCCCTGTGCATCCACACCCACTCCACAGCACAGCAGCAGCTCGGACCCATGCCTGACCCAGGGTTCTGGCCCTCAGCCTGGAGCCTTGGTGCTGGATCCCTTCCAGAGACACCAAACCCAGGTGCTGGGAGGTCCCCAGGATGGGAGGCTGCATGTGCACCAGTGCAAGCCTGGCCCTCACCCACCTGCACCACCCCCTCCCCACATTTTCAGGGCAAGAATCCCCCAAAACACCCCAAACCTCCACAGAGGTGATACCGGTTGGCCTGGGTCACCTTGTCCTGCTGGAAGTCAGCCTGGACAGGAATGCTGTCCTGGGCATGCAGTGTCCCGAGCAGGGCCAGTCCCAGGATGCCGAGCAGTGTGGTCTGCATGGCAAAAGCGAGCCGAGCCGAGCTGAGAGCTGGAGGCAGAGCGCTGCAGTGCTGGAGAGCTTGTCGAGCCCCTATTTATGGTCAGGCGTTGCGGGGCCCCCGGGGAGCCAGCCCTGCCTCCCCCCGTGCCGTTATGCAAGCTGGAGCAGGACAGAGCACTGAAGCCAAAGGGCAAGCAGGGGATCCTGTGAATGCTTCCCTCCTGTTGATATGACATATTTGCTCCAGGGTGCCAAACTCCTCTGCAGTGAAAACAGCCAGCGGCCAGCACAGTGGCCGCCCTGCCCCCAGCTGCCGGGCTAGGACGGGGAGCAGCCCACGGAGAGGGGCCAGCGCTGCCCCATCCACACAGGGTGGCCTCACTCGGACCCGGAGTGGGACTTCGGTGAGATGGAGGAAATGTCCAGTGCCTGCCAGGTCCCAACCCAACCCACAGGACTCGACACCTGCGTGTGCTCCTGCAGGATGCCCTTGCTTTGCCTTGACTCAAGTACCTGCATCACCCAAGGAAGTATCTCTGCTGGCCTTAGCACCCTTGGGGTGCGTCCCACTGGAGAGCTGGGGAGCCCCATGTTCAGCTCCCTGGGGACCAGCATGCAGCCAGATGCACCCTAGAACTTGACACCCCACTCGCCCCACCACCCTGCACCCTTTGACAAGAGGGGCTGGAGATACCCTCCCCCTTAGTTTGGGGTCACCAGTGGGTAACTTAGGAGCCTCCCTCAATCTGGGGACGCCCCTGCAGGGTGAGGGCAGGGGATGTGTGGTGGGTGCCAGCAGCAACGCCCATGGGTCTGGCAGGGTTTGGGCAGGGCTGGCCATGCCGGGCAGAGCCGCAGCCCCGCGGCGCAGCCCTGCCAAGGTGCTTTACGTAAGGAGCATGTTTTCAGAACAGCTGGTTTTCCCCTGGCAGCCCCCCCTGCACATTCCCTTCCCCGCGCCCCACTGCGAGGCCGCCCTGCCCTGCACACCCCGCGCCTGCCCGGCCCCGCGGATTTATGAAAACAAAACAAAAGCTGAGCAGGCAGGACTGGACATCACGAGAGCCTGGCTGGGGCCTCGTATGCTGGGCTGCGGCTCAGTCTCCCCCGGAGCTCACCCTCAGGGTGCTGGGGGGAACTCTCTCCGTTGAGCACAGAAGCAGGGAACACCCGGGGTGTCACTGGCACTGCAGCAGGAATACAAAGTCCCCCCTGCTGCCACGTACCCCCAGCTCCCTGCCCAGGTGCCAGGAGGGGGTGCCCGATGGATATCCGGGTGGTGCTCGGCTGTCCTGGGGGGCGCAAAGCTGGGAGCCAGCCCAAGGACCTGGGTGTCAAAGCTGGAGCACTTGGGGGCACAGGGGAACACCAACGGTGGTAAGGGGCAGAAAGAGCAGGGCTGGGGGCAGGATGGACTGTCTGGGCTGTGGACACAGACCCTTGGGCACAACCTGGGTGTTTGCACCCAGAAATGGTTTAGCCTCAACGACGGATGGGCTGAGCTGATATGAAGGGTGTGGAGAATCCTTGGGGACCGGCCGAGCTCCCCGGGGCTCTCCCCTTACTCCCTTATTCCCCTGTCCGGTGCAAGCACTTCGGGGTGCAGGTAAAATGAGCTGGACCCACCACAGCGCAGCTCTGTCAGGCTCGGGGGGCGGCCGGGCTGGACACGGCTGTCCCGCACCTGGGTGGTGGGAACAGGGGCTGGCTGCGGGCACATCACGTGGCTTCCCTTACATAATTCCCAGAAAAACAACATGTGTTACCAGTTCCCGCTAGGATTGCAAAACGCTGGGGCTGGGTAAAGAGGGCTGCTCCCCCCGCCGGGGCTGCGGGAGGGGGGGACGGGGCCCCGCACCTGCCTGCTGCCAGGCCACTCCCTGTCCCCTCCTGAAGCCAGAGCCATGGGCACTGCTGGCCTGCAGGTGTGGCAGGACGGCCTTGGCCAGGTTCCACACACAGGGAGAAGGGGTCGGATGAGGGCTGCAGCATTAACCCTGCAGCCTCCGCAGCCCCCTGCCTGTCTCTGTGAAAGGTGCTGGCTGTGCAGGCAGGAGTCCAGCACAGGCAGCAGCCCCTCGGGGAATGAACTCTGCAGGGCTGGGGCAGGGGAACGGGGTGTTTCCCAGCCTTGGAGATGGGAAGCAGGACTGCGGGACTAAGATTTCCTCCCCGGGGTCCCTGAGTGATCCCCAGCTTGTTGGGGGAAAAGGTAGATGCTGTGCTCTCTCTCGGAGCCCCATGCTCCCTGTGGCCCCAGGCACGGTGCTGTTCCCCTGTGCCCTCCCTTGCCCCTGCCAGCTGGACCAGGAACCACCACTGCTGTCCCATGGCTGAGGAAGGCTCACAGAGATGGCAGGGGTCTGCATGGAAGGGGGCTGCCCAGCCCCCCAACACCCCTGTGGCACCCCCCAGCCAGGAGCAAATGTCCAAGGCACTGGCAGCCCACGGTGGAGGCAGTGCTGGCCTGGCTGGGGCTCACCAAAAGGTGACTGGACTGTACACAGGCTCTTCTCTGAGGCTTTTATTGGGGTGTTGCTGGCTCCTGCAGGAGAGTGGGGCACAGAGCAGAGGGGGGACACAAGCTGGGGGGCACAGGACAAGGACAGACACAGCTGCCAGCACAGCTGGAGGGGCTGACGCACTGAGGTCCGTGTGGCCACGGGCAGCTGGCTGAGGTGAGGGCTGAGCTCTGGGACCCCCTGGCAACTCCATCTGCACCTACAGCTTCGTTTCTGGAAGGAAGAGAAGTGCTGAGGGGCTGGGGGTGGGGGGTGTCCAAGCCCAGCACCAGGGCTGGAGACCTACCTCTGCCTTCACAAGCACCAATAACAAGTGATGGAGCTGTCCCCAGGGACCTCAGCCTTCACCCCAGGGTGTCCTTGTGCCAGGACATCTCATCCTAGATCAGCCCTCACCCCAGGAAACACCAATATAGATCCATCAAGCCCAGTCTGACCCATGTGGGGGGTGAGGGGGGTTGGCTTTGCCACAATGTACCTGATGCCCATCCTGACTGATGGCTTGCCACACAAGGGCACAGGCTCTGTTCTGGGAATGGTCTGGCAAGGCCTTTCCCGTGCCAGCCCAGCCCTCCCACATTCCTGGGGCAGGACCACACAGCCATGGTGCAGCATGGATCTGGCCCAGTGTGCCCAGCCCAGTGCCAGGACAGGGACACCCCACTGGTGCCCAGTGTGGGACCAAGCCTGGCACATAGGGGCACCCAGCACATCATCCAGCATCCCCAACTCACCATCAAGGACGTGAAACTCATCTGCAGAGTCACAAAATCCTGCAAGAGACAGAGCCCAGGGGGATCACCTTGTCTGGGACCTGGCACCCTTCAGCTCCTGCACCCCCAGGACATTGCAGGGCACAGCCCCATCCTTGCATCTTTGTCCCCGGGGTGGCCAGAGCACTGGGACAGAACCCACATGGGTCTCCCTGAGGACCGTGTGCCACCCACCATAGGTGGGGAAGTAGTAGGTGACATCCTCACTCAGACCCACAGCCCTGACGCGCTGCTCGAACGTGTCCATGATGGCGTCACTGACCCGGCTGCTCCGTCCTGCATGTGGGGAGACACCATCAGTGACCTCAGGCCCTACTGGCCCTGGCCCAAAGCCCCCCATGTCCCTACACGAGGTCAGGGCCCAGGGGACTTTCAGCTCAGAGAAGTGGGCTCCCAGTTCCACCCTCACCCGCTCCCCCACAGGGAGTGACCCCCATTCCAATGTTGAGTCCTCCAAGGCTTCTCTCCAGAGTCCAGCGCAGGTTTCCCACCCCTGTGCTTCACCTGCCATGAAATCCCGAGCCCCAGCCTACCATAGAGCTTAACAGAGATGCTGCGGCCCTTCTGGTAATAGAGGATGATGAAGCTGCTGGGGTCAGCCTCACCCACCACCACATCCACTTTGCTGCTTTTCCTATGGCCTGGGAAGGATGAGAGGACAGCCCAGTTAGTTCCAGTTAATCCTGGTTAGCCCCAGCATCATCCAGGAGCTTCATTTCCCCACAAACCGAGTGTACAGGGGGTGAAAATCAGAGCCAGAGTGGGACAACCCCACAGGCACCAGCTCATGGTGTCATCTGTGATGGCATCTGGCACTTTGGGACCCAAGACATAAAATACTGGGAGTGCACTGGAAAGAGGGACATTGGTACCAAAACCCTGCTGAGAGCAGGACTGGGGACTCCAGCAGCCTGCTGCCACCTCGGATCAGTCTCCCTCACCCTTCAGCAGGAAGCGTCCAGGGGTCTGGCCGGGAAGGTAGTGCTGCCTGATTTCCCAGCACATCCTGTCCCTGCATGGGAAGAGGAGGAGGAAGAGATGTCAGTACAGGCTGTGAAGGATCTTCCCAGATCCCTGGCCGCCCTGCCTGCCAAGGCACACATGCTGTTTGTTTCCCTGGGACTTTGTTTTCTCCCCAGGGAAAGACGTCCCAGAACATGAGGGAGACATTGTGAGAGATGCTGAGCCCAAAACTGCTGAGCCCAAGGAATCCCTGCCACCTCCCTGCAATGCTGAGCCTGGTCAGGACCTGAAGGCCCATCGGGCTGGGGCAAATGCTCACAGATGTGCTGAAAGTCCCCATCTTCAGACATGCTGCCCCAAGGATAGCCCTAAGAGCCAGTCCTCGGCTGGGCAGCCTTGGAGCCACCATGTTTCATTTTTGCCAGCCTAGCTGTCCTCACACTGACCAGCCTGGGCACCCCCAGCTCAGCCTGGGCACCCCCAGCTCAGCCTGGGCTAATGGACGTGCGGGTGGCAGGATGTCCATCATGACCAGGGCGCCCATCGTGGCCAGGGCTTTGACTACAAAGGAGGGTATCCCACCCACACTTGGCTCTGGGGCAGCTCTGTTCTCTTTGGGGCCTGTGGTCAGGACACTGGCACTGCTTTCAGAGTCCCCATCCCAGAGCACTGGTCCTGTTCCAACCTGCCTGCAGCATCCCTGTCCCTGCCCGCAGTCCCTGTGCCCGGCATCACTCACAGCTTCCTGAAGGTGCTGATGGCCAGGCTCTGCCCATCCAGGATGGTCATTGTCACTGTCGTGGCCTCCAGCTGGTGGCTGTGCTCTGCCAGGTAGCTGCATCGGGAGGCCATGCCAACCAGGAACCACTTCCCTGAGAGCTGCATGGCACAGGGGTGGCACCATCTACAGGGCCACCAGCCTGGGCTGCCACCAGTCAACCACCCTGAGCACCCTCCCCCTCATCTGGCAGCTGTGCCCACAGGCTGTTCCTTGGGAACTGTTCCTGTTCCAGCCTTGCCCACAGGTGCCCTTCAGGTGCTGGGTGGTGGGATGGCAGGGCGGGATGAGCCTGACATGGGGACAGGCTGGGGGTGTGTAGGGGATGTCCAAGGCACCTGCCCACGGCTCACACTGCCCACAGCACTGCGGGCACCCCAGTGCCACACTGGGTGTGTGCTGGGCATCACATTACGCTGCAGCCCCAGCCCACCCCGCCAGCAGAGCCCCGAGCTCAGCCCAAGCCCCAGAGTGAGGGCAGCCACCTCGACCCTTCGGCAGCTCCAGATGGGTGAGGACGCGGATCCCTGTGAGGCTCCGGCCCCAGCGCCTGCTCTGCGGGCAGCTCTGTAGGCAGTGCCGGGGCTGAGCTGGGCTCTGGCAGCCCCGGCTGTGCGTGGGGGGCACTGAGGGGCTCGGGCCTGGGGGATGGGCTCGGAGGCTGAGGAGGACAGTGGGGGTCACTCGTGGAGGGGGACACGGGACGGGCTGCAAGGGTGGGCCTGGGGAGGAAGAGCACAGGGGATCAGCGCTGGACGGGGATGCCGGACGCGGATACAGGAGGATGGGCTGCAAAGCCGGGTCTGGGGGGACACCAGGGGTCAGCCCCGCAGGGGCACACGGAACAGGAGCCACCGCGGCTCTCTGCAGCCCACCCAAGTGCGGGGTCAGCGGATGCGCGCAGAGCCCTCAGCCCAGCCCCTCACCTGGTGAAGGCTGAGCCCCTCTTGAGCCTTCACGTTTTCGAGCGCACTCTGGGGAGGAGGCGGCCGCCGTCTCTGCGCCGCCCTCTGCCCCCGCGCCGTAAGGAGCAGCCCGAGGAGCAGGAGGGTGCGCAGGGCCGCCATGTGCCCGTGTGCGAGGCCGGCGCTGCCGGGAAGCAGCGGGGCCAGGCGGGCACGGCAGGGAGCCAGGAGCCCTGGTGGCGGCTGGACGGGGTCATCGCCGGGGTCAGCGGGGGCCGGGCTGAAGCCCAGAGAGCGGGGCTGGGCTGGAGCCCAGAGAGCGGGGCTGGAGCCCAGAGAGCGGGGCTGGAGCCCAGAGAGCGGGGCAGGAGCCCAGAGAGTGGGGCCGGAGCCCAGAGAGCGGGGCCGGGCCGGAGCCCAGAGAGAGGGGCCGGAGCCCAGAGAGCGGGCCCGGACAGCGCCGGCGGCCGAGGAGGGGCCGGGCCGGGCCGGGGGACTCCCGGGGTGGGCGGGGCCTGTTTGGAACGGGGCGTGGTTTAACGGGGACAGGCGTGCCATATGGGGGCGTGGTCGGGAGGCGTGGTCCTTGGGGGCGTGGTCTGACCGGGCTGGGCGGGGCAGAACCGCCCCTGCAGGGGCACTCGTGAGCGATCGCGCCGCGCTCGGCTCGCTGCGCCTGGCACGCTGCGGGGAGCTCTGTGCTCGAGCCGTCGGGGCTGCGGCTGGACGCGCTCCGTGATTGGCTGGCGGGGGAGCGCCGGGAGCGCCGGCCGGAAGTGGCGCGGCGGGGCGGGGGCAGCGGAGCCGCCGAGGTGCGGGGGGACAGCGGGGACACCGGGCACAGCGAGGGGGGAACACCGGGCTCGGGGGACACCGGGCACGGCACGGGACGGGGGGGACACCGGGGAAACCGGGCACAGCGAGGGGGGAACACCGGCCACGGGCGCCGCCAGGGCACCGGGCACGGCACGAAGGGAGCCGCGGGCCCGCGGCGGGTGCGGGTTCCCGTTCCGGGCCTGACAGCGACGCCCCGCTCGGTTGCAGGCGCGGCGGCAGAATGACACGATGGACGCGGGCTGCCCCCGGCTCCCAGACACCGTCCTGTTCGAGATCTTTCTGTACCTGGACCACGCCGACGTGCTCTCAGTGGGGCTGGTCTGCCAGCAGTGGCGCGCCGTGGCCCGCGACGAATTCCTGTGGAAGGAGCTTTTCTACCGCTACTACCGCGTGTCCCGGGATGTGCCGCGGCACCCAGGTGCGCTCCGGGGCGCGGGGCTCGGCCCGGGACGGAGAGTGCGCTCCCCCGCGCCGCCTCTGCCCGCCGCTGTCGGGTGCCGGAACCCCTGAGCTGCCTCGGCTGTGTGACAGTGCCGCGGGCTGAGATGTGCACGGGAACGGCTCTGGGTCTGACGTGGCGGTCAGAGGGCTGAAAATGCTTTGCCTTTCCCTTCTTTCCGCAGAAAGAAAGTTTCCTGAGCTCTCTAGGCAGGTGTTCTCTGTAGCTGCTGTCCAGGGAGATCCCGGGAGTTGCACTGAGTCACCACATGCTGCTGCATCCCAGCCTTCATGGAAGGGATCTGTGGAATCGCTGCTGGGCCCCTCTGCTGCAGCTCTGTCCCTTCCCCGGCTGGAGCAGAGCCACAAGCACTGTTGGCTGCTTCGAGGGTCCCAGGGCTGGGCTGTGCAGGGACACCGGCGTCTGTCTGAGGGATGTGTGGCCCTGTGACAGCGCTGGGGACATGTGCAGAGTCAGCGGCTGCCCCACAGCACCAGGGCAGGTTGGACTTGATCTGGGCTCACAGCAGGAGCTGACAGAGCCTGGCAGGGCTGTCCCTGGCCGAGCTGTGAGAAGGTTTGGGGGTGGCAGTCGTGTGATCACAGCTCTGCTCCCTGCTGAGCAGCCAATGCTGGAAGCCGTTTGGTGCAGCCTGGGAGGATGGGCCAGCTCTGTCACACCAGCTGGGACCTGGCAGCAGGAGCCCTTGCTGCCTAGGGGGCTTTCTCTCCAAGCAGCTCATTCCCAGTGGGTGATGGGGCGTGGGAGGACTGTGCAGGGGGCCCCCAGATGTGGCTGAGGAATTGGATCCTGGGTTGTGAGCAGCAGTGGCTACAGAAGGGCAGAAAGAAAAGCCAAGGATCAGGCACTGGGAGCTGATCTCCTTGCAGCAGGAACACCACTGCAGAAGGGCTCTGGGGGAGGTGGATGTCAATGGGACTCCTGCAGGCCGTGTGACTTTGCTCTTGCAGACCCTGGGAGCTCCATAGGGCTGAGGATGTTCTCTTTAGGGTTTTTCTGAAGCCTTTTGACCAAGCTTGTTCCCTCCCAGCCTCCTGGAGCTGCTTAGTCAGCTGCCAGCCCTGTTCTTGAGCACTAATTAGGATCAAGCAGTTGGTGTAGCTCAGCCTGGTGTATTCAGGCACCTCCCTGGCTGCTGGAGCTGTGGGCACCCTGCACATGGCAGCAGGACAGGGACAGCTGGCAGGCGTGGGCAGGGGCTGGAGCAGGGGTGTGGGGAGTATCTCTGCCAGCCTGGCTGCCCTGGGCAGCCGCTCGGTTAGAGGAATGATGTCCAGTGGGTCTGTAAGGTGAAATGTTGGCTTTGCTTGGCCAAGTGGGGCCTGCCCAGGCTTTTCCCAGCTGGATGGGCGAGGACCAGGTGGTTTGGAGGGGGTTGAAGCCTTGAGCAGCAGTGGGATGTGCTGGCAGCAAGCTGGTCCCTGCCTGCAGGAGCAGGTGCCTCCTGGGCTGCAGCGTATTCCAAAAAATCCTTCAGTCCTGTTCAGTGTCACTGGGAAAGTTGGCCCTTATCCATATACATGTCTAATCCTCTTTGCTTCTCTGGGATTTGCTGCTACAAGAAGTCTGTAGGCTGCCTGGCCAGGCCCTTCATTAAAATTTTTCTTTATTTGTTTTTTGTTGTCCATCAGTAAGACTCCCCTCAGTGTGCCCCAGGCTGTGCTCAGCACGTTATGCCCAGCCTCTGTTCTTCTCTTTCATTTTTTCAAGTCTCTTGTCTCATGGAGATGTTTTTTTCCTGGTCCCAGACCCTTTCTAGAGCCGTCTTAATTCTGTGTCAGACAAGACAGAGGTAATCAGTGCAGAGCTGGCTATGGTGAGGAGCAGCTTCCCAGCTTCCCTCTTGCCCCACCTGGTTGATTTGGTTGTGCTGGTGCACGTTTTCCTTCTCAGCACTGTTTTGTCCTGAGCAAGGTTTTGGTCTGACAGCCAGCACCTCTTCCCGGGCTGTTCCAGCAGGGGCTGTGCTGGTTTGGAAAGCAGAAGTGTGGTGTGGAGCTGTCTGTGTACTGGTGAAAGGGGTTTTGTATGTGGGAGTAGGGGAGCTGCTGAGGGAAATGCTGAGGGCTGATAGCTGAGCTGCAGCCCTGGGCTGGTGCCCCAGCAGAGCTCCTGGCCGTGCTCAGGAGCCAGGACTGGTTTATTGAATTGGTTTATTGAAGCCTGGTGCCATGTTTAGCCCAGCTCTGCTTCCCTCCACTCACACTTGTCCCGTGCCCCGCTCTGTGCTGCAGGTGCTGTCTCGTGGTACGAGGAGTTCCAGAGGCTCTACGACACCATCCCTTGTGTGGAGGTGCAGGCCCTGAAGGAGCATAATGACCAGGTTTTGCACCTGAGCTTCTCCCACTCTGGCTGCCTGTTTGCATCATGCTCCAAAGACTGCACGGTCAAGGTAAAGTGGTAGGTGCCCTGTCCAGCTCTTGCAGCCTCGGTCCAGTGGGGCTTAGCCCTGAGCAGCCTTTGGGAAGTCTGGAGAGGCTTGACCAGATGTCCCTGGATTTGGGCTGGTTCCTGTGGCTGCTGAGCTGTCTTCTAAGCCATAGAACTAATGACTCTTGCAAATGTAGCCTTGAGGGCTGTGTGTTCTAGCCCCAGCCTGAGCGTGTGTGGAGGTGGCCGAGGTGCTTTGCTTTCTAGGTGCAGATCAGTGTCCTGTTGTGCCCTGGGTCTGATGGAGACTGGGGAGATAGTGATCCACTGCAGTGGATCATGTCTTCCCTGAGTGGTTGTCGTGGGAGGAATCTGTCTGAACATGCTGGAAACCCAGCTGTGGTAGCACCATTCACTGCCTGAACACCTTCTCCTCTGGCCAATGGAGCAGCAGTTCTCCATTGGCCCCTCTCCATTTTCTGTCAGGGGAATGGACAGGGGTGTGGTGAGTGGGAGGCAGTTAAATGGGGTTTTTGATACTGTTTGTTTTTCATGTCCCGTTGAGTACTGGCAGAACAGATAAAGCAGAACCACTCTCAGCCTTCTCAGCAGCTTCCTGACTCTCCATCTCTCTGTAGATCTGGAGCAATGAGCTGGACATCTCCCTGCAGCACAGCTCCAACATGAGGCCATACAACTGGAGCTACACCCAGTTCTCCCAGTTCAACTCTGATGACTCCCTCCTGCTGGTATCCGGTGTCTTTGTGGGGCCTCACAACTCCTCCTCGGGGGAGATTGCTGTGATCAGCATGGGTAAGTGGGGCTTCCCTGGGGCTGGGTCAGGGGGTTCCCTTCTTCTTTGGGTCTGCAGTAGCCTTGTCTCAGCTCCTCCTGACTCCTGAGCTGAGGGGTTCCAATCACGGTTCTAGAGGGAAACCTCAAAGACAACCTTAACTCTGTCTGGGTTACTACAGCAGCACCTCAAGGCAGTGTTTACCCTCACTTCTCTTCTAAGTGTCAGTCTGGGCAAGGCTTATCCACAGCACGTATCTTGAAGCCTCTGCCTCTGGCATATGTGGTGTTTGGCATAGAGCTACAAAAACCTGGAATGGTTTGGGTTGGGAGAGACCTTAAAGTTCAGCTTATTCAACCCCCCTGCCATGGGCAGGGACACCTCCCACTGTCCCAGGCTGCTCCAGGCCTCATCCAGCCTGGCCTTAGACACTTCCAGGGATCCAGGGGCAGCCACAGCTGCTCTGGGCACCCTGTGCCAGGGCCTCCCCACTCTCCCAGGGAACAATTCCTTCCCAATATCCCATGTATCTCTGCCCTCTGGCAGTGGGAGCCATTCCCTGTATCCTGTCTCTCCATTGTCCCCAGTCCCACTCCAGCTCTCCTGGAGCCCCTTCAGGCACTGGAAGGGGCTCTAAGGTCTTTCCAGAGCCTTCTCTTCTTCAGGCTGGGCACATCCAGCTCTCTCAGCCCGTCTCCAGAGGAAAGTGGCTGCATCTAGCTCTCAGGTCACCTTTGTGGCCCTAGTCTCACCCTTAGGTCTCACAGGGCTTTCTTAGGTGTTGTCACCTAAGCTTCTTTCA